GCCAGCGTTATTGACCTGATCCTGCTGCTGCTGCTGCCTGTTATTGGCCTCAAGGGTTTGACCTGATTCGCAATAAGAGTTCCGAGTAAACGGAGACGCGTCCATCACCGTCTTATTGCTTCTTCTTATTTTTCTTCTCTTATTCATGCATGGTTATCCTGTGCATTAATAATGTATCCTTATAGTTGCTGAATCATGGGAGAGGGATGTGGAATTGTGGATGGCCCCAAGAAATTTATGGAGGCACATATTTATGAAAGCTTGAATAGTCGTCTTTGAGACGGAGAAATTAACGTAACAAGACTGAGAATATGCAGGAAAGTTCATTCATTTATATATGCTTGTTTAATTTAACTATTTATGGAGCACTCATGGAGCAAAAAGCCATGAATGATTGATTTTCAAGTTCAACATATACAAAGGCAATGGAAAGATTGTAATTACCCAATTTTGTCATGAAAGCTGTGATGTCGAGTGATTTGCTGACTGTCCTTGCTTGTGGGCATAAATCAGCCATATAAATGTTTGCATTCTCTCGCATATTTCCCTTGGTATATATGATACTGTACAACTATGAAAAAAAACCCGATGAATTCCAACAGAAAATTCTTAAAATTCTCAAGAGAGTATTGTACTCATATCCCTGCTATGTACTTTCCAGGTAACATATACCAGATGTTTTTAATGTTCCTATGCTTTGATGATGAATCTGAATCCAGATTGACAGCAATTTTTGAAGAAATGCATGGGGTGTCCCGTGCATTTTATTGTAGATATAATACACCTGAGTATCATTGAATTCCTTCTGCGGCAAAGCCAGGATTTATTTGCATGATTTTGTGCCACAGTTAAAAGAAAAAAAGAAGAAAAAAAACTAGCGTGCTGATCAGAAGAGCCAAATCCCAAAAAATTCTATTAATTCAGATGCCAGCAGAAAAAGCTTTGCAGAAAATATTATTCACTGCTGGGTGTTGATTTTTTTTTTTGCAAACCTGTCATAATATAGGATCAGGATTGAGGGATTTTTTGAGCAATGGTTTACATGCACTTTCCCAGATTTTTCCAGATTATGGCTATGTATACTCAGCCAAATATGAGGTTCCGTGACCTTTGGTCAAACCAAAATGTACAAGCATGCAAACATTTTCCAGCACCACCACACAGGGTAAATTTACCTGCCAATGCCCAAGGGTGAATGACAGGACCTTGCTTTTGTGAAATTATAATCTTATAACAGCAAGGCATTTTGGCCCTCAAAAAAGATTCAAAATCTAAAAAATCCCTAAAATGCAATTAAAATAACATTGAAAATGATTGAAAAGGAACAAAAACAATTTTTTGAAGTATGAGTACCTCTCCACAAAATTCATTGCAATGACATATCCTCCTGTAGACATTCAGAATAAAACTCACCCAGTGATGTAATGTTTTATCACTATGTCATCTTAGGGAAAAAGGACCTGTCTGCCACATATTGATATGGAAGTGTCAATGCTGAAATGCGCGCGAGACAAGTGCAATGCAACTGAGTCACCAGACCGATGGGCACAGGTAACAGCTGGCTCAGCTTACCTCGTTGCTGCTGCTGTGGGAATTGCAGGTGAGCCTCTTTTTGTTCACTTATGGGATATACATGAACCTTATCATAAGGGGTGGTTATTGTCTCTTAGTGTCATATCCTCCTCTTGCATGTGTGGTGCTATGTATGTTTGCAGATTCTACTGAGTGCCAATAATCCAGTTGATGGAAACCATTTTCACCAAAAATTGAGATGAGACAGAAATCACAGTAAAATAATTCCCTGATATGTCCTCGCCAATTCTGGCTTTTAAAATGTTTATACAAACTTTTGTAATGAATGAATTTACGGAAATAAACCTTACATATAATAAATGCAATTTTCTATATTCATATGTAGTTTGTGAACACAGTTGTATGCTGCAAAAATAGCTTATGAAAACATAAAGATCCTGTCATGATGACGCATACTATGATTGCCAACATAATTTTTGGGCGTGATGAAATGAGGTTTTTCCCAAAAGTTTATGACAGGAGTAATTTGTCCATGTTGATTTTGTGGCAGAAAACAAATGGGGCACTTTAGTTTCGATATTGAATGCTCACATTCAAACCTTTTGTTCTTGTGAGTTTCAGCAATCCGCATTTAAAGTAATCAAGAAGTACAAATTTAGATTTAAGCTGAATCTTGAAGAGCGAAATCGGGGACAAAGTTGAATAAAATAAAAGGATAAACAGACAGCAATGATGGTTTAAAACTATTATTCCACAGGAAATTATCAAGTCAGTTGAAACACAGGTTTTCACTGCATTTACATCAATTCAAATATAATAATATACCTCAATGGCAAGGTGATTTAGAATATATGCACAATGAATGCGATTTTCACACTTTTCTTTGACGCACATGTCCCATTCATACTAACACAATCCATTTTAGTATTTTTTTATAAAATACAGTGATGATGGATACTAAGGTTCTGCACGTAAATGGATTTTAAGAAGATTTTTTTCATTCTGAATATCATTTTTCCTACACTACTGTACTGACGTATTCAAAATAAAGAAGAACATGCCGAGAATTTTCCAGCCAACAGTTCACGCAAATAAAAAAAACCTGAATTATCGCATGCGAATCAAAGAACCCTGCCAAAAAAGAATCGTACACTAGGTCATCTAGGCATAAGTTCATTCACCTTGGCCAAATGTACAGTATATAAAACTTTTCCTGGTCTTATCTCTAAAATTCTGTCTCACTGTGGAAAAAAAAATCTGATTTTGTGCCTCCCAAGGGTCACATCACAGCCGAAAAGTCCTTATGAGTAGGCACTGACTTTCATGAGCATATTCCTGGCGCATTCAGAAGAAAAAAAAATATCGATACATTTTTGCGCGTGTGATGTGCAAACACTACGGTATTCAGTACTTTCCATTTCACCTGCGTGACTGAGAAACAGACCGTAATTGGCGACTGGTCACGTGGTTCACTCAGATTTTGGCAATTGCCAAAATTATAAAATTAATATTTGGCAAATTATAATTATTATTCAATTTCATTGATGATTGTTTTTTGACGTTGATCTAAATAATTTTGAAAATATTGCTCTTGAGCTTCTCAGATTCAAATCTTTGAAGCATTAATGCACGCTTATGAGCACCAAAAATGTACAAGGAAATACAAATTTTTAGAGAACTCCATTACATAAAAAAATTAGCATGGGAACATAATGTATTCCCAAGAACTGAATATGTCGTGATTAAGTGAACATTCTCTTCTGTTTTTGTCATTGGTTTGTGCTTTGTTTCATGATTTGAAGTGATTGAATGTCTTTGGTGGGAGTTGGGTTGGGTGGGGAGGGGGTTTGGATGCGTGAGTCTTGGTTGTGCCTCGTGAACGCTGAAAAGCGGCAAATAAAGTTTTCTGTTCATTCATTCAGTGAACATACTCGTATATTTATGACCATCAGTGCAGAATAAATTCAGTTCACTTCATATTTTGCCAATGTTTTGAACGCAAAATCATACCACTTTGAATGTATATATATATATATATATTATTGGGCAGTCTGTGCTAAAATAATGCTTTTAAGCGCTGAAAAGCAACCAATCCAAACTTTATGCAGTCTCTTATTGCTTAATTTTGGAGACATCAAACATTTTTTCTAATATTGTTTTTCACCTGAATTTTATGATGTTTACAGTCAGAAGCTGTGGATTTCAAATAATATAAGGCATCACATTTATAAGAGTGTTCTGTTCAAAAGGTTTGCAAAATATAGGTTTCATCTGGATAATTTTTCCAGAAAGCGTGATTTATTGGTTAATTTTATGCACGGTATCTAAATTCATTTCGCTTGCAAACCCTTAAAAATGGGTTCAATAGAGTTAAGCATTTTTATAGCAATATGTTTTTTGTGGATATTTTTGTTATCTTGGAAAACATTTTATAATGTCCCATAGAAGTCTGTGAGAATTCGTAAATCGTACAAAATACGAGTCAAACAACAATTGAATTGTGCTTGCATAAATTATATTCATTTTGTGGATACCACTGCACAAAATTTCGAAAGTGTCAAGGATGCAAATGTTTTGCATAGATTCTCCATGATTAGATGCAGCAGACGTAAAAAGGGGTCGAGAAGCAAATCGCAGAAGCAAAACCCGGAGCAAAGACAAATTTGCACGCGAAAACGAAAAAAAAATTACCGGTAATATGCATATTTCTCGCTGCTAATCTTTCATTCAACCCTTAAAAAATAAAAAATAAACATCAAAAACAACACGAAAATCATATCTTTCAATGCCAAAATATTCACAGATGAAAAAAGAGAGGGTCACAGAGATGCAGAAAAAAACACTTTACTTTCCCCAGAGTGTAACATACACCTTTGTCTCTCTCTCTCTCCAGAGAGAGGATCCTTGAGGATCCCCACTCCATTGCCCTCTCGCGTGTATCCGTGTGGATTATCATCTTCCGTCCCACACACACTTAAAATATCGAATTTTTAGAAATAAAAGAAAAAGAATAAAAAAAGATCCCCCTGCCTGAGCGATGAACCTGACTGCGGAAGTGATGCAGCAGCAACATGCTGCATATGTAAAAAAAAAAAATATTCACCAACGCTCAGCAGAGGGATCTATATTATAAAGATAAAATCAAATAGAAATTGAACCCCCTTTTTCACTCGGTGATGGGTGAAGCATAAACCTGGGGATCTAGAAAACGTGAGAGAAAGAGGCTTTATGTTGAAGCCCCTGCTGCTGCTTCTGATGATGAGTGCACGATTAAACAAGTGCGTCGTATGGGATCGGCATATGTATCACAGCCATTCACCTGCGAGCAGGTGCATCAGTGTTGCATCCAACTTCGGGCTGAGCGGATGCATTACACCCATCTTAAATATACAGTACATTTTTATACGCAAATTCACTTTGCATCAGTCGGAAATTGACGATATACAGTACAACTTCAAATGAAGATGATGGCGGCATTATTAGCAGCAGGAGATGAAGAGGACGAAGCATTGCATTCGGGTTGCTTTGGCAACGAATCCGGCACCGAGTCGGCGTGTTGTGGTACCACGGGCAAATATGGACCTGTGGCGCCGATGCAGTGGTCTCTGCTGCTTGTTGGCTGGTCCTATGTCCTCACTGCTCTGGTCGGCGCATTTCGTGAGTCCATCATGATCAGCAATTCAATTTTGCTTTTAGGAAAAAATCTTTTGCTTTATATATAGGTGATCTTCCATTTTTATTTTCCAGATATTAATGAAGCACGAAAAGGAAAAAAAAACATATGTCCTGGAATTCATTTTTGTTTGGGTTACAGTTAAATATAGTGCTATTATAGTTGCCAAATTAAAAAAGAAATGAATTGAATGAGCATTTAAGTATCTATAGACAGTAGCTGGCAATCATAAACTATTCAAGTTCCGTTTTTTAGAAGGGTGGTGGTGTAAATTATAAACAGAACTAGATTAAAGGAAATGAGTACCAATGTGCTGTGTTGACGTTTTGGTGAGACTGACTATATTTCTCAACATTCACACCGAAATTGCATAAAAGCAACATTTAGCAAAATTGATTGAAAATTCCTGAAATATAAAAAAATTAAATGAATCATTTTCCAAATGTTACGGCTCCAGCATATATCAGTGTAAACCCATAAGAGCTTCACAAAAAAAACAAAGCTATACCACTTGAAAATCCTTGAAAAAGAGAGGCAATTCAAATTGCTACAAATCCATCCCCGGATATCCAAATTAAAATGCAACTACTGTATCAATGAACACATCCAATCAAAACCAAGCAACTCTTGGTCAGTATAAGTATGGGACTTTCTTGGGGATAAAACTGTATCCAAATTTCAGGGTGAAAAATTGGGGCGCATTTCTTCCTCAAGGCCATCAAGGGCATGATACCCAAAAAAAATATGGGCGTTGTAGCTTTAGAGTTACTAGAATGGTGTGGGTGTCTTACATGAGGGTGAAACTGTATCAACATTTTAGACTAAAAAATTGGCATTCATCATACTCCTTCATGGCACATTGTACTTGAGTTGTTGAACCTCAAAAAGTGTAACCTCAGAAGTCAAATTTTTTTGAAGTCCCTGTCTGAACTCCCTTGGACACAATGCATTAAGAACTTTGCTTACTCAAAGGCGCTTCCTCTAAAACCTCTATAAGTTGAATTTTTGGAAACCTTTTGGCTATTATTTTCTTGACACAGGTAGAAAAAGTAACAAAAATGGAATTTGATACATTTTGAAAAGCTGTGATAAAAGACTGAAATACAGCAATGAATCCCTGCTTGCAAGTTCAGAATCTTTTCAACTCATTCCACGAACAATTTAAGACCCAGAATATCACCGTTTACAATTAAGTGCAATTCTTCTACATTTCCTGCAACAAAAATGCTTGGTTCCACAGCTCAAATATCTACTTTAAAAAGCTCAAAAGCTCCCTAATTCAAAGCCTACCTAAGCTGAATTTATTTTTTACTGGTCCTCCAACATTCAAAATATAGAGAGATTCAACTGTAGTGTATTTTTCACCTCAAGTGATTCCCCCCCCCCCCCAAAAAGAAAAGACACTGATCTTCGCTGCTGTCTCATGCTGATAAACACTATTGATGATTGAATCTTGTTGAGTACAGTGAACACACTGGCTCTGGCCGGGCTGGCCCGAAACCGGGCCCTGCGCGGCCGCCCGGCCACCTGTTTCACCATGAACCTGGCCGCGGCAGACCTTCTCTACTGCATTGTGGCCCTGCCAGTGGACGCGGCCACCTACCTCACCCAATACGACTGGGACACCTCAGTGTGGGCCCGTTCCTTGTGCTCCTTTTCTGCTCTCTGCAAGTACACTGGCGCCTTCATGGACTGGTCCAGTCTGGCCCTCATCGCCATTGAGAGGTATGAGTGCCAAACATATTGCGGCTTATGTGGGGAAAATGCCCTGGTCGAAATGAGACCTTTGTCAGTTAGGTCGGGCTCTGAGTTATCATAAATGTCACAAACGAAATTAAGCTGAGATTCTATTATATATAGCATTCAGGTATAAATTGTTCTCAGCCCTGGAATGCATTTGGAAATCCTCCCTGAAGCAGGCAGAAAGAAAGGGTTTCATGATTTCCTATTTGTTCAAGTTATACTTTCAGTTATGATGGAAGAATCACAGAATTGACCCACAGGAATCCTCTCCAGAAAAACGTTGTGCATTTCTTCTTGAAAATTAAAGTGAGAAAATAAACTAAATACAGTACTGGAAAACTGAGCTGAGCTGCATCAGGTAATAACCTTAGTGTCCAAAACTAAATACAGTGTGACCCCCAGATGCGGAAATAAATGGTGCTTGGACCTTGTCCATATATTGGATTGTCCACATGTTGGGTGACATCTTCCCTCAGACTTGGATGCAGAAGTGTTTAAATTCATTCTTCTGTTTATCAAAGATTAAAGAAAAAGTCTTTCAAAAACTGGAATGAGATTCATTTTCCTCAACTTCAACTCATTATACAGAAAATAACTATGCATCATAAATGAACTACTGTTGGTCCACCATGGTTTTAGTCATTTAGTGAGAACATATATTTCTCTAAGGCCTGTTGCTATGACAGAAATACCCTTCAAATTTTTGATTGAGGTTGGTTTGCCATAAAAAGTTTTGAGCTCCAGAGATTCAAAATGCATTTTACTGCTCTGGGAATTTTTTGAATGATAGCTTTTATTTTAAATCAGGAAGATTTTCAACATGAGGAGGTTTGAAAAATACAATTGTGAATAATGTCTTTATTTTATTGAAAGTTGAAGGAATTGAAGACAAGTAGAAACAGAGTTAATGCAATAAAGGCAATAAATCCATGAAAAAAAAAGTTTATCCAATATTTGGGTCATAGAAGCTCTGTTTAATGGGGATAATACTTTTTTCCATTGTATGGTGAAATTGAAATTGTTTTCAGAATAGCACATTTATTTATTGCATCCAGCATAAAAACTAGAAAGTTTAAATAATAAAAAAATATACAAAATAAAAAAACATCAACAATTTTCTGGTTTGTCAACAGAGTATATATTTTCATTTTTTATCCATGAAAGTTGAAAAGAAAATTCACCCTGGTTTAAAGACCATTCTGCCTTTCATGTCACCATCAGCAGCCTCACAACATTCTCAAATAGATAACCTTTGAGATCCTGATCCCTTGAATAGGCTTCACATCATTTATATGAAGCCTTGCCAACCTTCAAAACTTATCTTCAACACCGACGTTGGCGATTTTCACTGCACTTTTTTGCTATGAATCCGATCGTCTGCAAAAGGCAGCCTTTTATTTACAGGAGAAAAAAAGCAGACCAAATATTCCACAAAGTTTTGCTGCGAATAACATGAGTATGAACAGGTAGGTTTTCTTTTTTATACAGAAGCAAAACCATATAATGTATCCGAATGAACAAAAACCAGAACTCCGAAGGTTTCCGTATCCTACGCAAATATTTAGGTCAGAAGAAAATCCACACGGTTCTTATGTACAAAAGACACAAATGAATGCTTGTTGAGATTGACGTCTGATTGTCGCTGACCCTTTTTATGTCAATGGGGATGACTAAATAAATGCCGAAAAGAATTAACACCATTCTAAGCCCCAAAGCAATGATGAAAACGTGCTTGAGAAAAATACACTGCTTGGAAATTGGCAGGTGAAAAAATGTTGGATGTGTTGGTTGAGTTGATAGAAGAAGTGCGATTTTACGTGATCTCTCAAAAAAAATGATTGCTTAAATCGTCCAAAAATCAGCTAGATTATTTCATTTTAATTGAAAATTATCTTTTGGATGCTGGTATTATTATTCTTTCTGTTGGGTTCAACTACAATTTGCAGAAAGCTCAAGGTTTAACCCGATGCGAGAAAAACTTTGCATTTAAAGTTCAAGAAAAACTAATTCTTTCAGTTCTCCAGTCACGTGGCCGTGGTATTTTTTAATTTTTCACGATTGATTCATCATGTGTCATCATCATTTATTAATTTGGGAAAATTAATTCTTGTAAACGGCTCGATCCTAAATGTCAGCACGTGCTTGAAATTATACAGCGGCCACGTTTTTTTCTCAGAGTCGATAAAAATGCACATACAAATATCTAAAATTTCAAGTTATTTTAATCTAAATTATTTCTTCCCTGTAGAAGAAAATCCAAGTTAACTGCGGAATTTTATTCACGCATGGGACAATTTGAAGAATAACGATCCAGTCCAGCTGGCAGAAATTCTGCTTTGAAGCAAATTTTATTGATATCATTCACCGCTGCCAGTGCCCGTCAAATTGATGAAAATATGAATTTTAATTTTGCAAATAATATCGAGAACTTTTGTCTGTAATTTTAGGGGAGGTTTTTTTGTTTTTGGTCTCTGTGAAATGTCGTGCGTACATTTCCAAAGGGAAACTCATAAACGAATGATTAACGTGTGCTGAATAATCATGAATGAGGTTTTAGTCACTGATGAAGATTTAAAATTTCATATATGGTCAAAAAAATTAATATTCAGGGACCCGCACAAATTCATTATACACTATATACAGTAATAAGAAAGGTATTGATGGTAACTTCGAATGAATGAACAGAAAACTTTATTTGCCGCTTTTCAGCGTTCACAAGGTGCCTTTATTGATGTTACACTTGAGAAACTGGACAAAATCTTCTGCTGATATTATTGCACTCAATTCTGGGTACATTGCAGACAATTTAACATAGAATGTCTTGAATCCCTGTAATTTCAAATTTACCATAGTGGGGAGTTTGTTCTCAGATACTGTTAGTTTCCAGAATTCTTTAATTGCTTCAGTTGAAAGTTGATTATTGGCTATTGCCAGCCTATGTAAGAACATCAGAAAGCGACTGTTAACTTCAAAGAAAAGAATTTTGAAAGCGTTCCATTGAGCTGCTACTCATTAATAGAAAAATATGAAAAATTTGGGTACGCGTGAAGTATACGTACAAAACAGAGCCTCATCCTGGAAATTTCCAGAAATTATTCAGTTTCAGGAAATTTATTCAAATTCAATTTTATGATGGGCTGAACGCGAGCAAAAAAAGGGACAATTCAGTTGCAATTTTAGAGATTTATTCATTGACGTCACATTTTATTGAATCCAAGTGCAACTATACACAGAGTTGAAAAGTTGCAAGAAATTGATGAATACTGTCAAAATTTGTTGTTTTCAATTCTTGAATCCTCAGGTACTTCAAGATAGTTTTAGGAAGCGACTCTCACAAGGCAGTTTTCTCAACTCGAAATGTGGCCATGATTCTAGTGGGCAATTGGGCCATGCACTGGTGCATCCTTGGGGTAAAAATATCTTCATTACTCACTATTATTCCCGAATTACTAATAAACAATCAAAGAAATCCTGATAATACCACGTGTTTTATTTTTTTCCACTTTGCAGATATTTGCAGAGTATGGCTACAACCATTGGACCCATAGATGCGACATGTTACCCGCACAGAACTGGTTCCATTTTCTTGATCGAGGCATTGCCCATATGGCTTGGATGGCACTTGTCGTAGGTGTCATACTGGTCACATGTCTCAAGATCTGGCTCTATGTCCACAACACCACCTCTGCTCTCCTTGAGTAAATGTGAAATCCATGAACCTATCACCCATAGAAAAGGAAGTCACACAACTATATAGGCTTGGCAATTCATGATTCTTTTTTTTAAACTGCGTAAATAATATTACCCATCATGATGATGGGTTTCCCTCTGTCAATTTCCATTTTCTTGACATATTCACTTGAGGACAAAGTACACCTTCTTCTTAAAATTGTGAAGAATAATTGACATGGGGTACATGTCAGAGGCATGTGTAACATTATAACATTTTTTCCCTTTTGATGTATGTTATATTCTGTACCAACAGTGAATTTTCAAACAATTTAAACAGCCAATCTAAGTACTTGAATCAGTGAAAATTGAAGTCCAATTTGACTATAGCAGTTCAGGAAAAAATTCTGTTAACATTTTTTTGGTCCCATGAGGATTTCTATATACGCATATATAGCCATCTCACAGGGTTTATCTGCAAAACATTCTCCCTACAACACATTTATTTTCTGGCCCATCAAATTTTGTTGTAGAGAGATTCCATCTATATTTCAATTTTTAGTCTCACAATGTGGAGTGTACATTTTACTTAGGTACATGTTTGTAATCAAATCTTATGCTGAAAAAAGCATGTGTATTCCTTACCTAAATGTTGTGTGCAGTACCTGAGTAACTACCGCTATAGCTCAACTTCACATTTATTTACCAATATAAAATAGGTACCTTGCAATTTGATCACTCCACAATGTGTCCATTCTGCAAGTTGATGGTCAAATTTGCTAGGGGGGTTTACTTGAAATTTGACTTTTTGCCCTGCAATTCAACCCAAATAGAGATGGAACATGTCTAATACAGTGGTACCTAACTTGAAACTAGTGGCAGGTCACATGACAAGGAGGACAGTCTTTTGGGACCACAGGAAACAAATCTGCGGCTTATTATATATATTTTTATATATGAGTCAGGGTTTGGAAAAATGTACCAATTCTGTTTTTTTAAACGCCTGAAACAATTTTTATTGTGGCCAGACTTCAAAAAGGTATCTGGCCTTTATAATTTTAATAGGAGGTAGAATCATATTACAGGTGGGCAAAAACTATTTGTACAATTTTTTGTCAATTTTTCATGATCAAGGGAAAGAAATTGGAAATATGATTAATCAGACATTTTGAATATTGTTTTCATGGTGATGACATTTTGCATAAAGTAGCAAAAAAAACACAAAGAAAATGTATGTGATTTTCCCAGCATTTCTAAAAGTTTTTCATTCAGGAGTTGGATTAGTCTGTATTCTGTAGTATTCTAAGAAACGTGTTTCTTGGCTGGTGGGTGACTGTCACGGGCCAGACAGGAGAGCTCTGCTGACCAGATCTGACCCGCAGGCCATGTCTTGGGCACCCATAGTCTAATACAACATAGAAAGCGTTACATCTGACCTTTTCTCACAATTTGACTGCTTCATAATTTACTGAATAGTTTAGCAATGGATTAGGGCTGAATTGCAGGGCACCAGTCTATGTAGAGCAGTGTTCTACTGTTCTCCAACCCCTGATTTACATTCCAGTGCCAGTCTGCAAGAGTTTTTTGCATGTTGACAAGAATTTCTCTTTAACATAGTAAATTTACCAGAATTAGCAATGAAGTCTGCATATTATGTTCATCTGAAATTTTGGAAAGACAATTGTCAATTGAAATCCTCTGATGAAAAAGAAAAGCTGGCTTTTCTGAATACAACTTCAGAAAAATATCCACCTGTTGAAATAAATTATTGGTTTTTTTTCCATTCTGAGAAGCCTTTCTTAGAGCTCAACATTTAAATTTTTTAAAGTCATTCCACTGTAGCTGCTCCATTGGTTCTCAACTCAATTTTTGCAAGAAGGAGAACCTTTTTAAATACCTTCCAAAAATTCTATCAAGCAAAACTTTTTGATTCTCCAAACATTTTATCAAACTTTGCCAGTCTGCAGAAAATTTTCAGAACTGTGCTGGTCTGCAAAACATTTTATGGAAATATTGCTGTCTGGGGACTCAAAAAGTTTGGCAACACTGATGTATTGTACCAGTTTGCACTATATTTGTATGTCTTATTCCCTTCCCTCTATTACTGTTCCTCTCTCTCTCTCTCTCTCTCTCTCTCTCTCTCTCTCTGTCTCCTTCTGTATCAAATTAACTCTTCTGCTTCTTCTCCTCTGTCAGCTTCAATATAAACAGGTACACAATAGAGACAACCAGTGTTGCCACCAACACCACATCCAGCACCAGCAACAGAGCCAGTTTGGCACAACAGGACACATCCAGCAGCAGGGAAGCAGCCATGATGAATGCTCGTCTGTTTGAAAGAGGTGCCATGGAAATGCGCAGACCTCCAGCAGCCGCCATAAGACCGCCTTTGATGCACACGGCGTTCTTCAAACGGGAATTGGCTCTTGTCAAAATTCTG